AATCTCTGTAATCTCTGTCCTGGGAAGCCAGGGACTTGTTAACCAGTGGAACATGATCTGTGTGCTCCAGACTCAGAGAGAGACTTGGTCTCAAAAAACAAGGTAGATGTCTACTGGCAAGGACAGTGGCATCACCTCTGTCCCTCTCTCTCTCTCTCTCTCTCTCTCTCTCTCTCTCTCTCTCTCTCTTACACACACACACACACACACACACACTTCTCTTTACTGATGCTCTGCCACTCTCCACTGCTGACCACCATCCATCTGAAGTTCCCACAGCACCAGCAGCTTCTCTATCCCAGACTCCATGACCCCCTCACCTCCTCACTTCTGTGAGTCTAATAGTTCTATGAGATTGCAAAGCCCAGATGACGGAGGTGACACTCAGTACAGGTTTGTCAGATACTGCTGAATCCATCTGAAGGCAATGCAGCCATTCAAGGGAAGCTATCATGGTCATTTTATACATACACTGTACCTCTGTATATGGAACAGTTGGTCTGGAAGGAATTGTGGCTAAGGCAATACCATGAACAAATAGTAATTCACCACTTGATAGTAGCCTTCCTGTCAAATATTTAGACTAAGCAATTTTGAAACCTTCCAAACTCCCATAAAGCAATGAGGGTAATCCTTGGTGTGATCTTTCTTCTCTAAGGCAAAGAAACAAGAGAAGTGAAGTGTGTACATGTGTGTATGTGTATGTATGTGTGTGTGTGCATGTGTGTACCTACCAAGCCATAGTATGTGACTGTATGCATTTATGCATATACCCATATGTATATATGGCTATAGGTATTTATCTATGCATTTGGGATGCATATATATATGTGTGGTATATGTATCCATCTATGTGTGTGTGTGTGTGTGTGTGTGTGTGTGTGTGCACCTCCAAAGCCATCCATTAGTCTGGCTTACATACATAATGTCCCAAGGGTACATTAAACTATGTATATATATATATATATATATGTGTGTGTGTGTGTGTGTGTGTGTGTGTGTGTATCCATCTATGCACAATATCTGTCTATTTCTAATAAAGATGTTCTTTTAATAAAAGGATAGATAGAATTTTAGATTCCCCAGTGTTTGCCCAAACCTCAACATGGTCTCCATTTCCCAGAAAACAAGCATGAGGGCAAAAAGGATTGAGGGTGCTTTAAATTCATGCCTTACCTTTGAGGAGGTTTTATGCAGCTTACTAGCAAGGAAATAACTTACATGAGGCCTTACCTTGTTAGTTGGACTAATTAGTATAAAAAGCCTTGGAAAGATTTTCCACTCTGCATTATTACTACATGGAACTGCCCCTTCGAGAGCATCCTCTTACAAAGCTTGGAAACAGTCTACCCAGTGCAATTAGTTTCAGAACAACAGGCATGTGTAATCAGAGGCCTGTATTCACAAATACAAAACATTTGTGCTGCTCAGAGGTGGCTCTTTGTTGTAAATCGCCTTGCTGGCAACTGTTAATTCCTGCAATTAAGAACAGAGGGACCCTCTCTTCAAAAATCCTGCTGTCAGTGGAACCACAGAAAGTGATTTGAAGGAGAAAATTTTAGTTTGTCTGAGGTACTCTGGAGAAACCCACATAGCACAGGCATGTGGAACACGGGAAGCAGATGACTCTTTTGGTATGCATATGTGCACTTGTGTCTGTATGAGCTTGTATGTTTGTGAGCATGTTTACGCCAGATGTAGACATGAAGTGTTTTCCTCAGTCATCGTTCCAACTTAATTTGAGCCAGGGTTTCTCACTGAACTTGGAGCCCATTCTGCTGAACTGGCTGGGTAGTGAGCCTCAAAGTTCCTCCCATCTCTGCCTCAATTCCACTGAAATTAGAGATGTGTACCACCATACCTAGCTTTTTACAAGGGTTCTGGGGATCTGAACTTAGGTCCTCATGCTTGCACCATATAGACTCTGCCATCTCCATAGCCCAGACTCTGGTTTCGATAGAAAAAGGCTGTGAGCTTTGTGCTGGATGAAGAGTGACCCTAGGGAGAACTGTGGTCAGTACAAAGCTGTGTGATTTGAGCCTGTAAATTTGACTTCTGAATACAGGTCACATATCCCATGAAATTTCTGTACAAGAGGTGAAAGTGCAATTTAGTTCATCAATACTTTTAACCCAGGAGGATTACTGGCTCCTTTAAATAGCCTTGGATCTATTTGGTCTTGCTTGCCCTAGACTTTGACTGGACCAAAGGCCTGGGGAACAGGGCTGAGGAAAGCCGAATTGGCCTCATCAGACCAGAGACTGTATGCTAGCTTTTATGTCAAAAAGTTTCCTAACTGTTTTAACTTTGACTTCTCTCTCTCTCTCTCTCTCTCTCTCTCTCTCTCTCTCTCTCTCTCTCTCTCTCCTTCTCCCTCCCCCTCCCTCCCCCCTGTGTGTATGTGTTTTTGTGGTGTGTGTGTATCTGTGTCTGTGTCTGGGTTTATGTCTGTGGGTGCAAGCAGTCGTCAGATGTTAACCTCAGGTGACATTCCTGAAGTAATATCTATGTTAATTTTTCATAAGCGGGGACAACATGTCTGCCACCATGCTTGGTAAATTACATGGGCTCCAAGACTCAAACCTGAGTCCTTCTACATATTCCATCCCCTGAGCTATCTTTCCATCTACATTCTGAAGTTTCTGATTCCTGACAGGGCAGAGGGTCACAAACATTATTTGACTGAGTCAGCAATACACGTGGCTAGAAATACTAAATGACAGAAAGGCTGAAAATTAAGCAATTTTACAGGGACATCTGGAGACTTCTCCAACAACATGTAAGTACTGAGTGCGAGGGCCAGAGTGGTCAATGTTATAAGCCCAAGACTGGAAGAGTAGTGTATACAAACACCAGTGAGAAAGCCTGGTAATGCCTAAATGCTGGATTCACCCTGAGAGGGACCAGGATTCTCAGGATGAGGCCTGAGAATCTGCATTCATCCCAAGCTCCCAGAGGTGGGTGATGTTGTGGAGCTAGACAGCATATCCTTAACAACCACTGGGAAGAGTCTGAAGCTGTGGACCAGTTAGAACAGGTTCTATCCCCCAACATTACATAATCCAGGATGGTGGCACATGTCTGTAATCCCAGCGCTTGAGAGGTAGAAGAACATAAAGGTCAAGAGTTCAAGGTCATCCTTGTCTACAAAGTGAGTTCTACACAAGTCTGTGAAAAACCACTAGTGTGAAAAAATTCCAGCCCAGAAGAAGGACTGATGATAACCCATCATAGAGGAAGTGCTAATGTGGGATATCACAGTCTAGGGTAAGTGCTTATGTGGGACTGACTATCCCAGCCTATGTGAAGAACTGGTATAGGAGATCCCAGCCTAGGGGAAACACTGGTATGGGATAACCCTGCCTAGGATAAGTTCTGGTATCAGATTATCCTGGGCTAGGAGAAGTGCTGGTGCAGGATAACTCAGTCTAGTAGAAACACTAGTGTTAGAAAACCAAAATAGCCAAAACAGTCATCCTCAGAAGGTTGAGATTATATCTGTCTGAAGTAACAAAAGAGGAACATGGTGGTAGAATCGGCTACACCTGGGATTCTGACTTGTGTTCCTGTGGTCCAACCCATCAACTTCTAGGACAGTGTCAAGAGCAAGAGAGGATGGAGGAGATAGAGAGGGTAAGAATGCCAAGGAGCTCACCAAAAAACAGTTATCTAGCTGTTAGCAAGGTTAAAAAGAAACTGAAGGCATATTGGGCATCCCACAAATAAAATAATAAAGTAAGACGCATGCAATCTTTCTAAAATCTGTTCCGATACACTCTAATATGTCATCCAACAGACTCTCATAGAACGTGTGAGAGTTTTAACACACTGGGCTGATGTGTAAAGAAGTCATTCATTTAAATAATGGTTGCCATCATAGTAGAGTCCCTGAGGAGACTCCATGTGGCCAATGGTCCATTTCAACAAGAAGCAGACAGGTGACTGGTCCCCATACTGAGGAGGTTGAATGCTCTGAGCAGGCTTCAGTTCCAGTCTCACTCCTACCCCCACACAGACACTCAATATACACCCACCATTTTTGTCCTCACCTTGCCATCATTATCAGATAATATTTATTGAGTTTACTCATGCGTGGGGCTCCGTCTTCTTCTATTGCACTCAAATTTTCTTCCTGACTTCTCTTTTGCTTTTTGGCTTGTGCTCAATGTGCTGATTTCCCCCTAAGCCTGCCAACTGTGAACGCTGTCCCCACCTACTCTATCAACAATTCACTTCTCCAAGAATGCATCCAATTGTACACTCTGTGTGCCCATATGTGGCTCTTTTTCATTCAAGGCCAAGGATCACGTTTCTTGGACAGAAGGAACTGAATCATAACCTAAGTATGTGCAAGAATGGAAGGCAATTACCCAAAGGAACCACAGATGCCCTATGAAAATTATGGAGGAAGGGTAGGGCAGGGCAGGGCAGGGCAGAGAAAAAGAGAGAGAGAGAGAGAGGGAAAGAGAGAGAGAGAGAGAGAGAGGAAGAAGAAGAGGAGGAGGAGGAAAAGGAGGGGGAGGAGGCAAAAGAAGAAGAGAGGAGATGGGAGGGGAGGGGAGGGGAAGGGAGGAGAGGAGAGAGAAAGGTCAGAGAAGGAGAGGCAGCAAAATGAAGGAAGTGGGAGAGAGTGAGGAGGAGATATACATAGAGGGATATTCATACAGGAGAGAGATGAAAGTCAGAGAGAAGGATGAAGGAAGGAGGGAAGAAGAGATACAGAGACAGGAAAATGAGGAGAAAAAAGAGTAAGGTGAGAGAGAGCAGAGAGGAAAGAGATGGGAGGGAAGGGAGAGAGGTAAGATAAAAGAGATATGTAGAGGGTGCACTTATGGGAAGGGGGGCTAAGAAACTAATATTTCTCAGCTGACATCTGTTTACAACTTCCTTTTGTTGGGGGAACATTACCATTCTGTGGAGCATGGGATTCACATGCCCTTGGACCTGATCAAGATCCTTACCAAGCCTAGCCTCTCCTCCGCTCTCTTCCCCAACCTTACCTCATCAAGACATCTCTCATACTGTTCTCTCTGATTCTCATTTTCCAGCGCCAGTGCTGAATTCTCCGCCTGCAGTAAGAGACAGAAATAACACCCATAAATCAATGAAACGTTGTGTTATGTGACAACTCATTCAATATGGTTGCTAAATATACCTCCCCAGGACCCTGGGTAATCTCTTAGAAGTACCTTTGACAGGTTTGCTCTAAGTACTGTTAGAAGAATCGGAGGGATGACTCCTGTCTTACAGGCTCGCTCACAAGCATACATTACGACTCTAAGAAATCGGAACTTGATATTCCAAACAAGCAGAAAATCAAATCATGCTCTATGCATGATTGTTCCCCAGAAGAATGCTAGTATTTATCTTAGGCTATGAAAATGTAAGAAGTACCTAAATCTACTACATTAATACTTGGCATGGTCTTGAAGCCTAACGCTTTTCACAAAAATAAATCTGAGGCAAAGCTTTCGACTTGAAAGACAAAGTCCAGGTGTTACTCTTGGAGCCAACCAATGACTGCGGAACATACGCCTTGAGAGAGAGGGTACTCTCTACCCTGCTTCTTCTAGTTATAGCACTCGAGCATCTCAAAGCAGTGGGCATGGGAGTGTTGATACGCTATCAGTCTCTTTCATTGTTATAATAAAACCAGTGACAAACTTTAGGGAGAAATGGTGTGTGTGTTTGTGTGTGTGTGTCTGTATGTGTGTGTGTGTGTGTGTGTGTGTTTGTGTTCATGTGCATGCATGCATATTTCTTGCTCATAGTTCAGGTAAAGTTTATTGTAGTGGAGATATTAAGGTAGCATCATGCTGGCTTTTTATATGGGTGGGTTATGGGGATTGAACTCAGGTCCTTATGTTTGTACATGTGTGTGCGTGTACGCGCGCGCACACGCATACACAGACACACAGACACACACAGACACACACACAGACACACACACACACACAGACACACAAAACAACCCTATCCTGGCTAAACCATTTCCTCACCCCTGGAAGGAGCATGCTTAATCAGTTTGCTGAGTGCAGTAGGTTTTGAGATGGTATACAGGTCAGTCTGTTTCCTTTATAGCTTCTCTACATCTGGTTCAGAAAGGTTCTGTTTGGTAATACATGCATAGACATACACACACACACACACACACACACACACACACACACACACTTTCAAGAACCATGTCGACTTCCCACACACCTTCCCCCACATCCTAACAGTCAACATTTAGCGACATCTGCTCTATCACTCTCTTTCCTTCTCACTTCTTTCCTGCATCATGAGGGCAGGTTTCAGACAAGACCCCATTTTTCCCTTGTGTAGCTTAGGATGCTACTGCACACAACCACAGGCTGGTTATCGATTTCCTGAAATACATTTGTACACTATGATACTATGATCCACACTCCTTATTTCAGCTTCAGCCTTAGACTATGTTATCCTTTAAGAATGAGCTTTTCTTATCTATAATTCTTGTTAATAACCTGTACCCTTTGATCTGAGTACCTCCTGTATGCTTGTGACTTCCTCCCCTCCCCCTCCCTTCCTCCTTTCCTCTCTCTTCCATTCAACTCCTTTCCCTATATTTGTTTCCTTTTCTCCATTTTCCTCCATACCTACCTCTTAGCCCCTTCCTTCCTCCTCATCATTTGCATTCCCATCTCCAGCATCCAATTCCTTCAGTGAGAACTAGGATCCCACAGCAGGTATTTACTGGCTTGTTTCCCACCTCCCGACAGTGCACAGAAAACTGTTACACCAGGAAATCCATGCTAGGGAGAGGTGACAATATATTCTTTTTCAGAGTAAAGGTATTAATCAAAATTCTCTGTTCATAGGTGACTGGGTCAGTTCGCTGCTCTCTTATCCAGGGGCTGTTAGCCAACTGATTTGTTTTTGACAGTGTTCAAATTTAATTTTCCCTCTTTTTGAGTTCATTTTATTGTCCTGAATATGTTAAACATTGGCATGATTACAGAAGTCAAAGCTAGACTGAGATGCAGTGAGACTCCCTGCTTCAACTCTCCCTTTCTGTCCAACTCTTTTGTAGGCTTGTTTGGCAGTTTGCTCTCTCCAGTTTTTCTTTCCTCCAAAGCCTCTTTTAAGGAGCATCTTTTACCCCCTCATGTCATTACACATTTAGGCATGACTGTCCCCTGTCTATATCAGTCTCAGGCGTATATCAGGTGCAATCACTCACCTTACCTGCATGCAGGATCCTTGGATTGACTGTCTGCTTGGCTAAGTGCCTGCCCATGCACCTTCCCATGTGCCCCTTTGATGGAATGCCTGTGCACCTTCACATGTGTGCCTGTGCATCTGGAGGCTAGAGGTGGATGTCAGGCTGTCTTCTCAGTCACTCTCCACTTTACTATTTTGAGATTGGGTCTATCAATAAATCTGCAGCTCATTAATCCAACCAGGCTGGCTTGTCACCAAGCCACAGGATCCTTCTGTTCCTCCTCCCCAGTGTGGGATTACGGGTAATCAGCAGCCATGTCAGAAGATTCTCTGTGGGAGTTGGGAATCTGAATCAAGCCCTGTGACCTCAGGCCAGGAATTTTACTGACTGAGCCATTTCCCTTCCCTGCAAGGACTCTTGCGCCTTTCTCTGCCCTTGTTTTGGTCCTTTTATCGGACGATGATTGGAGGAGTTAGCACTATATTCCCCATTATTTTCAGAGCATTTTGAACTCCCTTTCCTCTTTCCCCTTTACAACATCTCTAAACTGTACCCGCTCTTTGCCTCACCTTCTATGAGCAAATCATCTTTCTAAGGAAGCAACACAGATCAGCTCTTTTGCGCCCTACCAGCATAGCCAGCCAGCATAGCAACTCTGTTCACACTGTGCCCAGCACTGATACTGTGACTCTGGGCTCTTTCTGGATGTGATTTTTTCTCCCAGGCCTTCCTCTGCTATCATCCCTGGCCACAGGCTGTGGCAGTACTTCTGTGGGATACTAACGGTCACTTTTCACTTACAGCAACACAAAATTGCGGTCTGTTGGTTTTTACAATGAGAAAGGTATGATATGATTTCATTCCTCTTTATTACTATTAAATCAATCTGTTCTTGAAAATTTCAAATACACAATTCTGCTTCCCTCCTCCTCCTTTTCCCTATTACCTCTCTTTGGGAAGGATCAAACCTTTGGTATGGAATCCAAGGGTTCATCTCTACCAAGTAGCTAGGTAAATTCTCTACTATTATCTTGATCATCCATTCTGGTTCTATTTCTTCAATCTTTTCCTTATCTCCCAATGTATCTTCCTCTCAACTTCAAGTCTTTTTTATTACCTTCCGTGTCTAACTAGTATTGCAAATAGTTCATGGATATGAGTTCATCTTCTTGGGCATGAATAACCTACCAGTAGCCATCCCCAACTAAAGAAACACTCCTCCTCCTCTCCAGGCAGCCATTAACTGCCAATATGAAAATGGAAGCTTTGCTCAGTTTGCTGCTCTTTCCTTATAGGCTTCTGTCATTTCCGTTTTGTTGAACTTGCATCAGAAACAGTGAAAGCAATCACTCAGTTCTTGACCCCAGCCCACATAGAAAGATAGTCTAGTTTGGCTCTGCTGTAGATCTTTAGGTAATGCTAGGGTGTGCAACCTTTATTTCACTTTGTGGCTTTATAGTTCTTTCAGGAACAAATCTGGGAGAGGTAATTTAGTTTATAAAGTGCTTGCTACATAAGCTCAAGGACCTAAGTTCAATCCTGAAAACTAGTGTGTGAAAGTTGAGCATGGTGGCATGCATCTGTAATCCCAACCTGGGGAGGCAGAGACAGGGCATCCTTAGTAGGGCAGCTAACCCAGTCTACTCAGCCAGTTCCCGTCTAGTAAGAGACCCTATATCAAAACCAAAGTGGGCTTGCATGAGGCATGATACCTGAGGCTGACACATGGAAAGGGTGTCACACAATGACAATGGGTGGACACACACACACACACATGGATATAAATCATTCAACTAAAAACACTTCAACTTCAGAGCTTAAGATATCAAGAACTACAAGGGCAAGAGCTAGAACTCCAATTCTGTAAGACGACTGCATTCTTGGGAGAAATGGTGTTTGCGATGGGGTCTGCTGACATAACTAAGGAGACTGGAAAAGAGTAGAGACAACTATGGTAGCCAGTTTACACTGTTTCACTTCACTTTAGATTATCTGAGGGAAAGCATGTGAGGAAATAAAATAGAAAACGGGAATTTATATGGGATGCCTGCATCTTCCCTCTACCCACATCAGGTTGCAATAACACAATGATCGATCCATTCAGATAATTACCATCATTACAGTTTACGTTACCTGTCTCACATTTACTGTTCTGACAATCCATTACAGCCCAGCAAATTAAATACAGAGAAGGTGCTAGCAAACACAGTCACATTTATGGCCACAGTGCTCAGTTACAGAGACATGATTTAATTGGTGTAATCCCATACATCCCAGGAGACAGTGAAGATTTTAACAATTAAACCCAGGATGCTAAAATGATCTTGAACTCATGATTCTCTTTAATCCATTCATATTTATTAGAGATTTGGGATTAACCCACTTCCAACAGGAGATAACCAGTAAAAAAACAGAAAATCCTCTAATTAAGTGTGATTTAAAGAAACAGCGGATATTTATATAGACGAGTTGGGAAAAGATAAAGAGAAAAGAAGGGGAAATGTAGGCATCATTACTGAGAATTATAGAAATTAGAACATATCATGTTCCACTTTAAATATGCTATTAAGTCAGGATACCCAGAGGACTCAATTAGAATCTTCAAGAATATGTTGCTGGTGGATCTTTGTGTTCAGTTTCCTCTTTTATAATGATCAAAACTTCTGCTAGATTTCATCCCTGACTGAGGATTTCCCATTCAGGATAGTGTGCTCATAACTCCAAATTATACTGATCTCTATAAGTTTGAGTTTTCATTGGTAACATTTCTGTTTTTCTTATTTTCATTTTTATTTTGAATTTGTGTGTGAATGTGTGTATCTATACACAAATTCAGGTATATGGTGGAGGCCAGACATCCTAGGAGGCCAGGTCCCTAGACAT